GGTGGGTGGGGGGTCAGGGGGTCTGGGTTTGGGGTTTGTTGGGGTTTGGGGGTGCCTCACTTGCGCTGCCGGTCCGTCAGGGTGATCCCCTGCACCGACACCTTGAAGTGCACGGGGCTGGGGGGCGGCCGGGGGGAGCCCCCCGCACTCGGGGCCCCCTCCAGGAGGGTCCCCACGGCCTTGGCCACGGCCTGGGGCCCCGTCAGCGCCCCGGTGCCCACCGAGCCCAGGAACAGCACGGAGCAGGCTGGGGAGCAACGGGGGAGCTGCCCGAACGGGACCAGCACCCCGGAACGGGAACAGCGCCCCAAAAAAGGGAACAGCGCCCCGAAACCGGGAACAGCACCCCGGAACGGGACCAGCGCCCCGGAACCGGGAACAGCGCCCCGAAACCGGGAACAGCACCCCAAAAACGGGAACAGCGCCCCGAAACGGGACCAGCGCCCCAAAACTGGACCAGAGCCCCAAAAAAGGGAACAGCGCCCCAAAACCGGGAACAGCACCCCCCCAGGAACCGTCCCGGCAGGGACACTGAGGGGCCGGGGGGCTCTGGGGGGATCTGGGGGGCTGGAGGAGTCTCTGGGGGGTCCCGTCAGCTTTTCGGGGGGTTCCCCGCTGTTTGGGGGTGTCCCCGCAGTTCTGCGGGTTCCCGCGGTTTTTGGGGTTCCCGCGGTTTTGGGGGAGGAGCCGCGGTTTTGTGGTGTCCCAGTGGATGTTCAGGGGGTCCACGCGGGGGTTTTGGGGTGTCCCCGCGGTTTTTGGTGTGTTCCCTCGTGGGTTTCGGGAGTTTCCCAGGGGAATTTTGGGAGTTCCAGCGCCCCGGAACCGGGAACAGCAACCCGAAACTGGGACCAACCTCCCCAAAACTGGGACCAGCCTCTACAAAACCAGGGCCATCATCCCCAAAATTGGGACCAACCTCCCCGACACCAGGACCAGCAAGCACCCCGAAACCGGGACCTGCCCCCGCAGTGCCCCCAGTCCCGATGCCAGCCCCACAGTGAGCCAACTGCAGCACCGCCCCAGAGCCCCCATCCCAGTGCCCCCATCCCACCGGGAGTTTCCCAGGGGAATTTTGGGAGTTTGGGAGCTTTTGGGGGTTCCCGGGGGATTTTGGGTTTCTCCCGGGGGGTTTTTGGGGTGTCCTGAGAAGGGGTTGGGGTGGTGTACCCGCAGTTGGAGGGGGGAGGGTCCCTGTGGGGGTTTTGGGGTGTCCGCAGGGTTTTGGGGTGTTCCCGCAGTTTTGGAGTGCCCACCTGCGTGGGGGATGCGGAGGGCGCAGGGCAGCGAGATGGGGGTGATGGAGTGCTGCAGCACCAGCGCCGGGAGGCTCCCTGGGGGGGAGAGGGGTCAGGGCACCCCAAAACCCCCAGTGACCGCCCCCAGCCCCCCCAGATTCCCTCAGACCCCGACAACCCCCCGACC